AGCATCAAACACTGTTGATCTTTAAATAATTTTAATGTTATATGAAGAAAGAAAGATTTTTGCTGTTTTCCTTTGTGCTAAAGATCTAAAACACACTTGCATCCAGCGCAATAGCTGTTAGAAATGTTGTTTTCTTCTATTCAACATGAATGCTTCTATATTTTCACACCAGACACACTCAAGATAAGAGGATGAAAGTAAACAAGCCATGCAAGGATGACAGAACTGCAGATTGATCATTTAGAAACATCTGCTCTGGTCTATACAGCACATTAAATTGAAGCAGGTACTAAGAGACCATAGTTTTTAGAGGCACGCTGGTAAATGTATATAGTTAATGCTGATAACTGATATTTAAAATTACATCTTAAAATAACAAAAACCTATAAAATGACAGAACCTGAGTGTAGTGTATTATAATTTATAATGCAAAACCTGAAACATGAATACCTAATAAGATACCAGAGAAGCTATTGATCAATCATTAAGAATCAAAATGCTTCCTTTGATTTTTATCTGTGGTCCTTTTAATGTAGCTTGTGCTGTTGTATTTGTATAGAAAATGCATAAGACATTAGTGTGGTTCTTCTAGAAACTTAGAATGTTGGAAGGAACCACACTAAGCTTCTTTTGTCAATAGCGCAATACAAATCAATTTCCACTGTAGTGCTTTCAACAGAGTGGGTACCAGAGTTGCTTGCTCAATACAGCATGTTGGTCAATTGCTCTGTGTGCACTCATCTTGCATTAAGCCTTTCAGTTGTGTTTATTGGCTGCAATCTTAGTCAATTCTGCATTTAAAAATGCTGAAGTGGAAAACAGAAAACTCTGAAATGTGAATAATGTACTCTGTTTTATGGTGATGGTAGGTTTACCACAGGAATGGCACATTACTGCTTTTCTTTTTATGTTTTCTGGCATTACCAGTACACAGTTGGCACATGCAACCAACACAACACAACATGAGCTGAAACTTATTCTTTATGCCATGAAAAGTGTATTGGCCCTTACAGATTTTCTTTTTTGCTTTAATGAAAAAAAAAATACAAATACAAATGGAGATTTTTTTCCAAGCAGCAGAAAGGGCTCTCCAAATAAAATGTAGAAACGATAAAAAAAAACAATTTTCTACTTTATAAATCACAAATTACCTTTTGTTAAATTATACAAATTTTGTAAAACTAAGTTAAATTCTTCTACCCTCACATATGACTTATCACCCAACATGTGAAAATTCCATAAACAGAATCAGTCTGACAACATAAAGTGGACTAAATCCAAATGATCTAAATAAGCAACACACCATGCCTTCATTTATAGAACAAGTTAGAAGGACATTATTGAGATTAAACTGAATCATGGTGGGCACAAATTACTGTAGAGCATTACAGTTAGAGAAAATATGAAACCTTGAGAGGTTGGTCTTTCAAAATGACTCCATGAGTGCATCAAGGATTTAGCCTGGAGGTTACAAAAGAACAGCGAGGAAGGTGCGGTGGTGATGCAGGAGTTAAAGGCACACTATGCAACATTTTTCAGTTAATTAATGTGTTCCATAACGTTTTGGATGATTAAATGAGTAATTTCAGGTTGAACAAAGGTATTCTCGGCCGCCCTGGTGGTCTGTGGGGGAAATACCGCACTTGCAACTGCAGGAGCACCGACCCGCACCCACAGGCTCAGAAGTCTCACGAGAGTCAGTCTTGCTTTACGGCGAGAACTGCTACACCCACCAGTTAAAAGCAAGCTCGTTGCTAGCACAGTGGCGATCTTTGTGCAGTTATGCTACGTTCACATCGGACGCAGCAAAAGCAGCAAAATCGCGTCTGCTGCTTCATTTTTGCTGCTTGTACCAGTTAGTTCTGACGCGCGGCTGAAGCAGCTTTGCTGCTCTGGCTGCACGGTGCAAAAGTGTGTCTGACGCGCGTTGGGCGGAGCTTCACTATCCTTTCTCTGCCTTGCAGCTATATTTGCTGTGATCAGTGGGAATAAAGTAGTTCTAATATGTGTTTAAGTGAGAAAATACACCTTAAAACGTAATCAGTGCAGTCAGTTCATTCAGATTATCATCCTGCCTTCAATATTTTTTCTGTCGGAGCCGCTTAGACCTCCACATACCAGCGATGCGCCGGAATCCCTTCATCAGCAGCCTCTGGCCGGGTCGCCTCCTCGCGGTTCACCGCTGCAGCTGGTAGGTGTTTTTCATCTAAATAATCCAAACTGCAGGCAGCAGGATAATAAAAGCGAACATATTCTGCCGGCAGATTTCTGCATTTTAAGTTAATTTAGGCGTCAATAAACTGTTTAAGAGGAGTGATGATAGCGCTCTGATCATCAGCGCTGTGTCTCTCTCCCTGCGTCAGATGAATGAACGCGCCCGACGCGCTGCTTCAGCTGCTCAGACGCGGCGCCTGCTGCTCAAAACGCACCGCGGGACCTTTTGCTGCGCCTTGACACGCGTCAACCATTGACTTTGCATGTAAACTCGCTGCTTCTGTCGCGCCAGCTGCGTCAGGGGTGAACGCAGCATTAGTCATTCGTTGCGTTCGCCTGTCTGCTAAGCTCAAAACAACCGCGCCTGGCTTGACGGAGAAACCAGGAGAACAGCTGAGCATATTTACGACAGTGCACTTTTACACCCACCCTCTGGGGGGAGCCTCGCTGGAAAATCAACACCGGTTGCATAGTGTACCTTTAAGCACAGGACCCATGTCCAAAGGCTTCGGTCCTTGATGCAGTTTCTTGTCCTGGCCTGGTGACTTTCACCTTATGTTTTCTCCCTCTCTCTAATCCAATATTCTGTCTGCCTACATCAAAACAAAACATGCAAACAAAAAAAAAAAAAAAACGACTATTTACTACATTGACCAAAAGGATCACAAAGGTCAATCACACATTTGCAGAATAAAAATGTTAGGATCTGTAGAAATTTGAGGAAAATATTCTGGACGACTGATTCAACACAAACTGGAAAGAAAAAGGTCATTTAAAAGTAACATGAGTTTTATTAATTAGAGGCTTTACTTTATTACAATTGTGGTGTTGATTGTGGATTATGAAGTACATTAAAAAAGTGATTAACACATATTTTCACTTTGTTTTATAACAGCCACACATTTCAGTACAGTTTTTTTTATTGAATGGAAAGTTAAAAAAAAATTGAAATAATACAAGGTTGTATTTTGTGCAAAAATTCATTTATCTAGATGTAAATCATTCCTTTCACTATTTTGTTTTCCCTCTTTTGATAAGAAAAAAGCATTTAAAATAGGTTGAATTAGTAGAAATACTGTAGCATGCATGTGTGTAATTTAATCCAGATGTAAATATGTCTGAATGAGCAGCGATATAATAAAACCAAGGAAAACACCAGACATGTCATGAAAAAAAATTCTGTAAGGAATTCAAGCAGCCTTATGTTATTAAAAAAAAGTATTTTAATTGCTAAATTCATCCCCAGAAAACTGGAATGATTATGACACATCTTCAAATCAATACAGTTCTTGGCCCTCCACCTGAACCTAGTGGCTGAGGAGGGACACATTAGAGGACAGTTCTGAAAAAAGGCATTTTAATACAATTTCAAAACATACTTTTTAGATATTATGTTAAAAGAAAAAAATCCCTCTTTCATTCTTCACTGCTTTGTGTTGGTTTATTTCTACAAATTGTGTTAACACAAAACTAAGGGAAATTAGCACACTTTTAGTGGATTGTAATGAAAATCTGTGGTAAGAAGGTGGAGTTATAACAAAAAGACAAGCATAACTCAAATATGAAGAGTTAACCACTGTAGACATGGATTATGGTTGTTTTTTAAAAGAAAAATTAACAATCTAGGTTTATCTAGCATATAGCCTAATGACTGTTAATTTAAATAATTTGTATTCGCATTCTAAGGGGTAAAACTAAATGTAGGAGAGGAAATTTCTAAAAAAAAAAAAAAATCTAATTAAGGGGCGGTTTTGATCTTGCATATGCTTCATATTTAGGGCTAAATTAGTTTACATTGCACAGGCTCATAAACAAAGCAAACATTGCAGATTGATCTGAATTGCACATAAATCTGAACAAATGTATATCATAATGTGCAAACTGCAATGTCTTTGTTATTGTTTTCAGTCAGGATTTGTGTGAGTAATTGTATTCCTTTCACCTGTGTCTTCATCTTCTCCTTCCGCAAGCTCATTGACATGCATGATGATGCTTGACTGGGTGCAACATATCGCCATTATTCATGGACAGAGTACACCTCCGAGCCAGACTGGCAGATCAAAAGATGATATGATAGGTTGGGGCTACTGGTGTTTTGGGTGATGAATGGCCTCATCATTCAGAGAAGGCTACACTGGAGGAAGTTTGAGGATGGAGTAATCTTCACTGTTTCATGTAGTTGTTAAAATGTTCTCTTATGATACAGACTGCGTTCAAATGTGATCATTGCTAATATATGTGTGGATATGTGTGTCAAACACAAAGGGGATAACCAAATTTTGAAGTTTACTGCCACAAACATCCATGATTATTTATAAACTCATTTATTTCCCCCCTTGTAGTATCCTTTATTTGAGCAAAGCAGAGATAACCGTCTCCCAGCCCCTTCTTTTTCCCTCCAGTTAGTTGTTTTGGAGTCATTCATCAGGAGAAGTGAGACTGAACAATCAGGGGAAGAGCTGGCAGGATCCCTGTAGAGATGAGGCAATATTGAATTGATGGTATCATTTAAAAGGCAGAAAAAATAGCAGAAAGAAAACCGTGCTGTTTTTTTTTTTTTTTTTCTCCTGTCTAAATGGGAAATCTAGTGGGTCTTCGTGTATTTCCATGGTCTAATCTCTTAAGCCTCCTATAAAAGAAATGGATGAAATCAGGTTTTTTTGTTAATACTTTGTTCTACCTCTGTATGGATTTTCACAATGTATTAAAAAGTGTGTCAGTCATCGCAAATTGTTTAAAAAAACAACAACGCTATACCCTTTTGATGTATCATCTCCTCTTTTCAGCTATTGAAGCAAACACAGACTCGATAGAGGACTTGATGCAGAGGTTTCAAGACAGCTTTCGTGTTCCCAACACCCCAACCAACATGCCTCATTACCAGCACGCCGTGCACAGCTCATCCACGGGCCGACGGAGGGTCTCCAGCCACACTAGAGGTAAGACCAAAAGACATTTAACTTTAGCATCTTACCTGTTTACCAGTCAAGTAGTACTAGACTGGTTCTGTGAAATCGCTTTGAGGATTTTGTAACATTAAAACAAGACTTTAAAACATTTCAAATATTTTAAAATAAATATATGGATATTATCTTATTGCTTTTTCATCCTAAACAAAATGCATCTATTAATACTCACTGTTTTTCTGGTTTTGGTTTTAGTGAATATTGGTGCAGTAATGAGACTTTTATGTAATGATGAGAAGACTCACATCGTTTTGGGTAAAAAAAAAAGTCTAATGTGGTCAAAATCCAAAGTTTTTTATTTAATATTTTGTACATATCCTGGGTTTTGTGGTATGCTTAGTTCTTTATAAACATCCTCAATTTAAAGCATTTTATTTGCTTCATATATCTAGGTCTTGTATTCTGTTTTATTTGGGTTATATAGGTGTGGTCCAGGTTAAATTGTTTAATATAACACCCGAATCCTCTGTACTTTTATTTGTTGTGGAAAGTAGCCAAGTACAGCTACTCAGTTACTTTACATAAGTACTTTTTTTGAGTATCTTTATTTGAGTATTTTTTATTTTTTTTATTTTTTCTGTGGAGGGAGGGATACTGTTAGTTACTTGATACTTTTGGCCCAGCTTAGTTTCGTAATTTGCTGTTGCTGTTTTTGTGTTTTCTTGAAAAGCTATTTCAACATGGCAGATAGTAGCCTTTAGGACTGAATTTGCACACCAATGTGTTAGAGATTTGCATAATGTTCAACAAATGTGAGAATCTCAGGGCAGATATTATTTGTAAAACAGTAAGTTATACCAGTAATTGAGTAAGTTTTGACTATGAGTAATAATACTAATAATCAATACTTTCACTCAAGTACAACTGTCCACCATTGCGTTTTACTATAAGTGCAGAACATAGTTTAATGTGTTAACAGTTACTGAACTTTGATCTAATTCAGGTATTTATGACATAAATATTAAATAGATTTCAGCCCCTGACATTTAAAAGACCCAAGTTGACATCCAAATTAAATTTTTCCTGTTTAATGGTTAAGGATTCTTAACACTTTGAATTTTACATTTAACTTCCTGCTCTTCTAAATGCCAGTAATGCAGCACTGCTACCATTTTTTACTATCCCAACTTGGCACAAGATACTGTAGCTCAAAGCATGTGATGTTTTTACCATTACCACAAGGACAGGGTGGTACAGAAAAGTTGCTTGTTTATGGTTGTAGTGGCCATATGAGAAGAAATACAAAAAATTGACATTTGGAAACCAGTGAATTATTTGGAAAGATAAAAAAAAAAAGATAAATAAATGGAAAGTATCATAATGAAAAAAGAAAACATTCAGGGAAAAGATTATAAAAAGGAAGCAGACTTTCTAAGTTATTTGAATAAAATTGCCTCAATAATGAATTCTATTATGGAGAAAGGTTTTTTGTTCAAGTTTATTATTTCATAATTATAAAATGCTGTTCATAAAAAGTTAAAGAGAACTTTTCTTCCATTTAGTTATTTCACAATTTCATAGTCGCATAAATATTTATGAATTACTTTTTCAAGTAGATATTTATTTCACAATGATCGAATTTTCAATTTTTTCCAGTTTTTTTCCGTTTCAGGATCAGGATCGATCACAACAACAAATGCAGATTATTATTGGCAACATACATTTCAATTATATATGCAATAATTAACAGTCTGTGTCAATTGACATGCCTTTATGACCACAGTTTAAATTCCTATTATCGTGAGACATTAACCCTAATGTGTCTACTACATCTGACAAGATAACCATTCTTCTACTTTTACTTCTACTTTTACTTTGTGATGTTGCAATAAATAGCAACATCACAAAGACTTCCTTAACTTTCCATTTCACAAAAGACTCAGACTAATTCTCTGTTTTCCCCAATCAGACAGGGGTTTCAAAAAGATTACTATGCAGATTATTCTATTAGTTATTTTATTGCCCTGGTCATTTGACTGTGCTATACCGAAGTGTGACATGTTTCAAAAAATAGTGAGCAAAAGAAGCCCAGCCAGCAGCCAATAATCCCTTTATCAAAACTGCGCAGGACATGACTGAGAGATGTCTGTCTTGAGGTGAGAAGTGAAATATTTCCTTTGACAGTTTATAGTTTAAAACTGTAAAAGTGTTCCTGAGTGTTGGTTCATGCAACAAAAATAACAAAATGATAAGCAATAAGTTGGACTGAAATGAAGGGGTGTTGATTGGTCAGACCACAAAGGTCAGTGCTGCAAACATGAAAACAATTTATTGTGCACAATGGTGAAGAGCAAAACCAGATTAGAAAGACAGTATACAAAACATTTGAAATATAAAATAAGAAGTTTGAACCAAAGATCTGATATATTTTCTAAATTCTGATAACAGTACTTGAAGCAGGCAGCAGATTGACAATTAATGGAGGAACTTGTAAAGACAAGGCTATGTTCCGTCTTGTAAATTAAATCCTACATTAAATAACCCAAATTATGTGTTTTCAGATAAGTTTAATTTTTTGTGTTGTCTGAAAATAACTTTAATCTTAGTTAGCTCCTGCTCTTAAAGGGATAGTTAATGTTTTTCGACTTGAAGTTCTGTGAAAAGTTGTAACATTGTCTCTACCATCACAGGCCTCCTGCTATGAGAATACCTTGCCTCCATTGTATGCAGTGAAAATCAGATGTTGCAGACTTATGCTGTTCCTTTGGCTTTAAATAAAGGTTGCTTGAAATGTAATAATCACAGTGATCACTGTAACTTCACTGCAGAATTATAGTTTATAGTTTTTAAATTCAATTTTTTCTTTCAAATCAAAAGAATGTTATTTGACATGTTGCATATAGTTCCATTTCATACAAAATAATCTATCTGAGATATATCTAAATATATTATAATACATATATTATATTAAATATCCCGTTACATTTCAACCATCTGTAATATAATAATTTTGCTCTGTCATCTTTCACTTTAATATTATTATCCCCCAGTGACTGATGACTCATACAGTAAATTTGTTTGACACATTGCAGTTGACAATAGTTCTAAAATTTGCTTCAGTATATTTCAAAATACTTTCAATCCCTAATTTTAGAAGGCTTAACATAAACACTGCACTAGTCCTGTTAAAGTTGTATATTGAAAGTATACACAACAGAATATGTTAACAGCATAAAGTCAATAATTTTTTGTTTGATAATAAAAAGGCAAAAAAGCAATTTTTATTCAAAGAAAAATTATTAAGCAAAAGTAATAGTAAAAAGAAAGCTTGACAATAACTAAAAATGCAGTTGCAAACTTAAAAACCAGAAATTTTGTAATAGTGAATTGTTCAGAAAAAGTTACAACTAGAAGACAAGATTTTTACACTTTTATTTTTCTTACTGAATCCTACTTTCAAAACAACATTTTTGATCCCTAACCTTTGTCATCCTGACCTATCCAGAAAAAACAACAACTACAGAGTTTCAAATTTTTATGGAACAATACCACCCTCTGCACAGTTGTTTGGTAACATGTTGATGGTGTGAAAATGCAATCTACGAGTAAACCAATATTGACCCCACTAGCAGCTGGCCTGTCTGCACAAAAGGAAATCTATTGTCTTCAGCGTCCGTGTGGGAGGGAAAACAGTAGGTACTGTAGGAATATGATGCATTGGCCATCAGTATCCTGTAGCACGCAGCAATTTTCAAAGTTTCTTTTTTTTTCTATAAAACTTCCTAGGTTGGGCAAATTCCATTAACACATTTTTCTAGTGTTTGATATCATGTTGATTTACAGAGACTGAACTGCAAACGTAATAGTAAAAAATGTTACCATATATACATAAAAAAAACTATAAGCACATATGTTACCTCCATTCTGTCTGATCAGTAACACACCCCAGCTGTGCTCATACTTATTTTATAGTGTCCTTATGCCTACATAAAAAAATATGCATTATAGCAGTATATCTTACTTCCTACTCAGCAAATACTGTCCTAGTTTTTGCAGATGCATCATATACCTTGACTCAAGTGTTGGCTCATGCATGCAGTTAGATGTCATACAGTTATAGAATCAAAACATAACTCCAAATAGCATCTCTTTCTTTTGGATGACAGGTAGATTTTCTACTACTAGTATTACTACTGCTAATAAGTATAATATTGATTATTTTTTTGAATGACCTAATAATCTCAGTAAATTAGAAATTAGCTTTTATGGCTACATTTTAACGACTACATTTAGCTTTAAAGCTATAATTTATGTCGACCTATTTATGTTCGGTAAAGGTTAGCTGGATATTTTTAGCCCGTTATCCAACGGGTTTTTTTTTTTTTCATTTGATGCTCTTTGTTGTGTTCTGCTTCTCCAATATGACCTCTCATTTAATAACACAGGGGTTAAAATGGGGTTGGCGTAGAAGTGGTGAACAAAGTAGATTGCTTAATGAATCATTTATTTCATGAATATGCTTTTGTACCATTTTCTAAGGAGAGAGATATTTCACCATACATAAAAAAAATCTGTCAACTGTCAGGTTAAGCAACATTAAATCAAGCATTCACACGTAATTAGATTTGTTTAATTATTGTTGTCTTTAAAATTGTAATCGGAACTATTTTCCTCTGAAAGTATTCTAAAAACCTGAGGACAAATAAACTGGAATGATGTGTAGTAATGACCAGAGAATAAAAGAATTATTAAAAATAAAGCTTTTGGATAACAGAACTCCAACAGCAACAAGAACAGGAAACACTAGGGATGGACAGACAGGTTAGTGATTGGAACTAACTTTGATTGGTTTATCTCTGGAAGGTGAGGCAGCATCTGTGGGAGCCATAAACATTTTAACCGGATTTAGACTGCTTTGATCCAGTTGAACTTAGCAAAAGTTTTAGCAAAGAGTTAGCAAAAGTAGTCTTCATCTAAGCCGTCAACTTCTATGTTAGATACAATTCCAAACAGGGGACAGTGTTTACTATCAG